TTTGACAAACACCTCTGTTTAAATTTACCTATTTGGCACAACAATTTCAGTATCATGTGTGCCAGTTCCTCACTTAAGTAAGAAAATTACTTGGAAAATATTTGACTAATTTCTGAATGTTAGAGAGAGAGGTAGGAAAGAGTCACCCTGAACGCTTTCAAAGCCATAAATTATAGTTGTCTTGAAAAAACTGCTGAGATTTCAAAGCCAACTGTAACTAAAGGCAATAACAACTTGTAGAAAGCTAACTAGAAACTGAATTCAGCATGAAGTGCTGAACAATCCATGTGCATTTATTAATGCAAGGTTGAAAATGATTTCTTCAATAAACTTTAATTGTAAAGGCATCCACAAATGAACACACATGACTTACAAATGGATCAAGTTTAGAATTAGAATTTTTTTAAAAATTGTTTTTATCTTAGCAATCAAACTTTATTTAGAATTAACTCCGAAATATGAAGAACTACTTAAAAGCACCAAATGTAGCTTTTGTTGTCTTTATAACGTGTCTTTGTCAATATTCTCAAGGAACAAGCAAAATCTATTTCATCATCAAATAAAGAGTGATCAAAGTAATTTCTCCAAGAGGACCAAGTTTGAAATAATGCAGTTTCTCAAACAATTTACAAGACAGTTTGAGTTTGATAAGTACAAAGTTCAGAAATAAAATATTGCAATATACATAACAGAAGTCAGTTTTGACAGATACTCTGTGTGTGTGTGTGTGTGTGTGTATATATATATATCACAGATTCAGTGCTGGTGCTAATAAAATACACTTTTTCTTTTTAAATCACCATTGCAAAGTTCAGAGTTGTGCTACTGATCAAAGAAAATATAAAATTTACTATGTTTATGGGGGGGGGAGACTGCTTAATGGAGACAGAGTATTTGCAGGTACAGTCAGTGCAGAAATAGAAATCAACACTGCATGGTGACTGTCAGTGTTCATTCCTATGCCTGCACACACACATTTTATATATATATATATATATATATATATAGAGAGAGAGAGAGAGAGAGGTGAGGAAAAGAACAAAAGATGAATGGGGTTCTAGAAGACAGAAGATAGCAATTGATGTTGCATTTACATTTTTGAAGATTGTGTAGGTGACAGGGAAGTAAGAAATCAGAAAGGAGTTCCACAGGTGAGAAGTATGAGGAAAGAAACTATTAGAGTAGAAATGACGATTGCATCCAACTAGTTCAACAGTAAAATGGTGAAAAATAGTTGCCAATCTAGTAGCATGCTTAACACACACACATTATATATAAGTTTTATTAAAGGTGACTGACAAAGTACTACATGTAAGCTTTTTAGTCAATTTTTCTTGTGTTCACATAAGTTTTTTCTTTTCTGGATATAAGGTGTGTAAAATTGAATATTTTGTATGTCTGAGTTTTTTGGCTATTCTTTTAGCCATTATCAAGGATCTTTTTTTATTTTTAATTCTAACTGAATGTGTAGATTTTTATGTATGTATCTAAAGTTATTAGAATGTTTTTATTTTCTAAACACATTCCGCACATAGTGAACATGTTCATAGTCGATGTTATAGAGTGTTAGCTTTAATAAATTTTTTTTTTTTTTTATTATCAATGCTTCCATTATTATTTTTTTTTAACACACACACACACACACAAGTGGATGAGGCTATTATAGTTGCATTTTCTAGGAATAAGTTGCGGATGGAGTTTAGTAGGTTTACATGTATGTTTAAACGAGTCCTAATTGAGCTGTGGTCAGAGAGATGTAATGCGGGTCTTATTGATAGGCCTATCTGAGCTGTGTTGGTACTTACTGCCACCAACCACTGAACTGTAAAAGATGCTTACTGTAGAACAACAGTTAACAAGCTTAACTCACAGACTACTTGAGCAAGTTTTTATACAAAATGAGTGTCTCACTGCTCATGGCCTTATGCTTTTCGGTTTGGTTTACAGCATATCAACCTCAACAGGTTATTTAATGCCGACAAAATTTTCATTGCTGGCAATATGTTTTTCTTCAAGAATCCACTTCTGAGAATACCCTTCCATGAAGAAACCTATAGCTGGTAATATTTTTTTCAAAAAATGTATAACTGTTTGTATTGCTAGTAGTTTTTTTTTTTTTTTAAGTCTCCTTCAAAAATTATTGTTGTAATATTTTTTTTTTTTAATTACAAAGTACTTCTGGTATTAAGTTTGGGTGTCAACCATTTGCCCACAGCCGGGACCCCAACAGGTGCCACCACCCCAGGTCAGGGTGGACCTGGGAACACCAGCAATTAAGAGGTGGTTCCATGCTCCTCAAAACCTCCTGATCAAAAACCCCGCCACCGGACGCAGTTCATCGTCCCACCCAGGACGCAGATGTAATTTATCGTCATACCCAGGACGGTGGCCTTATGCCAAACTAAACTGAGTAAATAACCATAATGACAAACACATTGGATACCATTTTAGGAGTGGATGAGACAGGTAGGGAGAAGGTAATTTACAGGCTGTTTTATCTCATTTAGAAGACTACTCTGAAAACACCATTTCAGAAAAACGAGAAATCCACTTTTAATAATGCAACAGAAAATTAAATAAGGACTTTTTGGCACATGAAAAACGTTAGAAAAAGAAACCCATTCTTTATGGACATGAGAAAAACATTTTCAGAATTATTGTTTTTTTTTTTTTTTTTACTATGACTGCCAAAAAACAAAGTGTAAAAAAAAAAAAAAAAAAATTAAAACTGTTTTTTGTCCTTGGTATAAACCTTTCCCCATGATACTGACTTCAATAAAGAGAGACTTACTTAAATTACTGATTTGGAAATGACCTGAAGAAAAAAAAAGATAAAAAAAACTACAGTGGTGTATTGAAGGGCCACAACATGAAGAGTAATGGCTGCTGTGATCTCGGTAGCATGTAGGTTTTATAGGATAGAGTTACTAGCACCACACCTGTTTTGAATTCAGATTTGTTGTTCTCTTCGACTGATTACCAACTGAGGCTAGAGAGCCTAGTCTGTCCTGTTTATTTAACCCATAGGCGGGGGGTATTCATGCCGTTCCCGAGGGAATTTGTGCAAAAATGAATGTCATCCAGAATTTGAATTTAATTCACTGATATCCCACTTTCCACACCAATAACTGCTACACTACAAGCATACCCACTTGCATATGTGATGAAGATAAACAGAGAAAGTAAACAGTTTATTACAGCAATTCCAGAATGTATTGTATGTAAGTGATAGTCCACACATACATATACATTAGAAAAATTCTCAGGCTGACCAAAAAGGGATTCTAAAATAATGTTTGGTCATTTGATAGGATTTTGGTGAGTGAGTTGGGCTGATAATGTTTCAGTAGACCCTTGCATATAGACTCACACAAGTGTGCCTCAATAAGTCTAGAGCCTGACATTTATTAAATAAACTTTTAACTGAAATTTTCAATTTAATTGTCTCCATGATTAATAAAGAGGATGGACTGGGTTCTATAGCCTTGGATGGCAACTGGTCTGGGAGAAGGACAACTTTGTATTCAAAACCTGCAGAGGGTCGTTTGGGGAACTTGTGGCACACAGTGCACCAGGTTTCCATATTCAGCTCTTTAAAAAATGTTGGTTCTGCACAAAGCCTTTAACACTATAAGCAAATCATATGTGCAGGAGTCTGACTTTCAGTTTCTAGGAACTGAGTTGCTTGACCATCATACGTAGAAAACGATGGGAGAGTTCAGCAAGCAGTATTGGTTTAAATGCAATGAAAAAAGGATATTATGCTGAAAAATAGTGGTTGTGTGAAATAATTTTTTTTTCTACTTCCTCGTTATGTTACAGATTTGTTGAACCGATGTGGAGAAAGAAAGCCAAATTTTAAAAACTTGATCAAATGTAGACTTTATTCAACATTAATCTGATGGGCATAACAGTAAAAAGTAAAAAACTAAAAAAAAGAAAAAGTAAAAAAAAAAAAATTGCCTAAAAAGTAAAAAAAAAAAAAAAAGAAAAACAAAAAAAACTAAAAAAAAGAAAAAGTAAAAACTAAAAAAAGAAAAAAAAAATAAAAAAAAGAAAAAGTAAAAAAAAAAAAGAAAAAGTAAAACTAAAAAAAAAAAAAAAACTAAAAAAAAAAAAAAAAAACTAAAAAAAGAAAAAATAAAAACTAAAAAAAAAGAAAAAGTAAAAAAAAAAAAAAAAAAGTAAAAAAAAAAAAAAACTAAAAAAAAGAAAAAAGTAAAAACTAAAAAAAAAAAAGTAAAAAAAAAAAAAAAAAAAAAGTAAAAAAAAAAAAAAAGAAAAAGTAAAAACTAAAAAAAAGAAAAGTAAAAAACTAAAAAAAGAAAAAGTAAAAACTAAAAAAAAGAAAAGTAAAAAACCAAAAAAAAAAAAAAAAAAAACCAAAAAAAAAAAAAAAAAAAAAAAAAAGAAAAGTAAAAAAAAAAAAGAAAAGTAAAAACTAAAAAAAAAAAAAAAAGTAAAAAAAAAAAAGAAAAGAAAAAAAAAAAAAAAAAAAAAAAAACAAAAAAAAAGAAAAAGTAAAAACTAAAAAAAAAGAAAAAGTAAAAACTAAAAAAAAAGAAAAAGTAAAAACTAAAAAAAAAGAAAAAGTAAAAACTAAAAAAAAAGAAAAAGTAAAAACTAAAAAAAAAAAAAAAGTAAAAACTCAAAAAAAGAAAAAAAGTAAAAACTCAAAAAAAAAATAAAAGTAAAAAAGAAAAAAAAAAAAGAAAAAAATAAAAAACTCAAAAAAGTAAAAAAAATGTAAAAAAAATAAAGTAAAAAGTAAAAAAATAAAGTAAAAAAATAAAGTAAAAAAATAAATAAATAAAAAGATATATATTTTTTTTTTTTAAACATGGAAGAATCCAAATTAGGGAATGAGGTGACATAGCCTTTCCTACCGAATCATACATTTTTATTACACTAGAGTTTATAAACCCAGATCTAAATGTTTGTTCCTATTGTTTCACCTTTAATGATTCATCTTCATTAAAAGTTCATGTAAAGCAACTTACCTGAGGGATTCTGAAAGAGGAGTTAGTGTCCCATCACCTCGATCAACAACTCTGAAAAAATTCAACTGGTCCCCTTCTCTGAATACCAGCAAGGTCACCTGCCTGTTGCTGCCAAACTCCTCCTTGTTGGCTTCCACATATTCTGCCATCTCCCTGAAGGATGGATCTTCCATTGGAACTGAAGATCAAAAAAAACGTCAACCAAACATTTAGTAAAACAAAAAACAAGAGAATTAAAAGTTATGGTCACACAGTTTTGTGGTTGTCTAGTGTTTGAAGAAGGAGAAGGGCTCCTAATCACTTTAAAAAGAAAAAAGTTGCTGTTAATATCAACTATGAGAGGCAGGAAAGAAAAAAAAAAAAAAAAGAAAAACTTATATAGTCTTATTAGAAGAAAAAGACAAGGGGACAGACAATAATTCCAAACATGATAGCTTATATATAAAATCCCACAATGCAAGATTATGGAAATAAACAAAGTTTGCACATACAGAGAAAAAAAAAAATAATACCATCTTTGGAATGAGTTTATAGTGACAACTATGAAAATGTTAAAGATGTAATGAGGTTAAAAAATGGTGAAATTGCCACACCTTCCAAGTCAACAAAAAGCAATACAAGCCACAGACCATTTTTTTTTTTTTAAGCAGAATTCAACCAACAAGAAAATCTGTCTGAAGACCAGAAAAATACAAACTGGCTGAAATAACGGGGGAGAGACAAAAGAGGAAAAATATTAATGTTGAAAAAAAACTTTTCCCTTTAAGTATCGTCATTTTTTGACACAGGGAAATACAAGGCAGTTAAATCTGATTACTTCTACTTCTAGGTGTTGTGTTCCTTCAGGACGTGGACGATCATGGCTCTCCACAACTTCCTATCTCCCATTTCCCTCTACAACCTCCTATCTCTCATGGCCATTAGAAGTATTTCTTCCTCTATCAAGACTCATTCCCCACCCTCACCATTCCGTTTTCCATTCACAGAAGTTCATCAGGTAGGTGGCTCAATGCCTCACCCCCTCTCTCACCCTTGCCCAGTGAGGGTTAAGTTTTCCAAATCCTCCTTCATTATGTGCCCAAGAAATTTCAGTTGTCTCTTTCTGATTCTGAGCATAAGTGTTCTTTTTGTTACAATTTTCTTTAAGATATCCTTGTTGCATACTCACTCCATCCATGGAATTCTCAGTATCCTCTGTAGAACCACATTTCTTTTACCTCCAGTTTTCTCTTCATCTGTGGGGAGATTGCCTATCATTCACTATCATATCAGGAGGATTTTTTTTTTTTTTTTTTTTTTTTTTAATCAATTCACCCCCAAGCAAGGCAATAATGCCACTAAGACACAAGGGGCTAATGGAAGTGAAAGAGAATGAAATGACTTTAGAAGGAGCCAGAAACCCCAACCTAAACAGGAAACAAGCAACAAACCTCTACACTTGTTCAAAAAACCAGGGAAGAGTTTGAGCCAGGCGATATATGTGAACCTATCAGATAGCAATTCCTTATTCTTTTTCTTGTTTCTAACAGTATTTTCCAGTTTCTTAGTATCTTGTTTAGCTTTTGGAATGTATTTTTTGCTAATCCAACATGTATTCAGATAAGAAAAGAATGACTGACTTAAATAGGGGAAGTCCTGCATCACTCTCAAAAAGTAGCAATACCATGGAATGCCACACAGCTGCATGACTGCCACGCAATGCCACACAGCTGCATGACCGCCACACAGCTGCATGACCGCCACACAGCTGCATGACCGCCACGCAATGCCACACAGCTGCATGACCGCCACGCAATGCCACACAGCTGCAAGAATGCAACTTTTAGGAGAACTTGAATCCATAAATTCACAATTCAATAGTTATATCTGAGTGTCCTGACATCAAAGGCATTATTGGCACTGAGGACTTTAATATATTTATTGGCACTAAAGATGAGAATATATTGTGTATACTTTTTTATTTTATAAAATCTCAAGATTTGACAAGCATTTTTCTCATGTAAGATTTTTTTCCCTTCCAATAATAAATATTCTTTCCTCTGTAGAAAATGTTTATATATATATATATATATATATATATATGGACTACTTTTCTTAATACACAATATATATGGGTTTCTTTTTTCATTGTTTACATCAATTGCTGAGGATTTCAAAAATAAAATACCGATATTGTTCATAATGCTTTCACATCTTCTCTATTTCGCATTGTAAGTCGGATTACAATAAGGACGTTAAAGTTGTCTTCTTTGCTTAGACATGCTTAAAATGTTTTAGAAAGAATGTCAGGCAGAATAAATTAGTTTGTATTAAATTTTAAGAACAAGAAAAAAATTTCTCTGTTCAAACAAATTATAAATTACAAACTGTTTCTTGCTCCACATACAATGCATCACTCCCCCACATGTACAGGTTTAAAAGGTTTCAAGCCTTACTAAGGTGTTTGTTCAGTCTAAATTCTATAGCAAGTAAATCAAAAATGTAAAAAGAATTACATTCCCTTGAAACTGTAAAATCATTTAATTGCAACCAAGCTTTTAGATTAAAAAGAAAACATTTGATCTCATTACATACACAGAAAAGGTCACATAGCCAATGATCTTTGCTCTGAGAAGATGTACCCTTATTAAATTTCAGCTTTGTATGGTATGAAACTAGTAATATACAGACACACTAATTTATATAAGATAATTTCACTTATACAGTAAATCTAACAATTCCCATTCAAGTTTTTTTAATACAAGAAAAAAAATCAGTTATTTCTATACAATTATAAAAGCATTATATATATATATATATTATATATATATTTACCCCAGGAGGTATTTATAAAGCCTTTTGAACCATTTAGATATACAATCAGAAAGTCACATTGCTTATGATCTTTACCTGGAAAATATGTAACCCTATGCCAAATTTCAGCTTCCCAGGTTCAAAACTATGGCCGACAACTTGATACACATCATACACACATCTACTTAAGTACTGGAGACTGCTTACATATTTAATAGATAGTGGAATGTGTGGTAAGACAAGAATGTTAAGATAATTGTATTTTTTTGTGAGAAAAGCACATTTCCTGAAGCCAAATTAGGCAAAAGTGAAATTGATTTGCTGGAAAGAGTGAAGTAGGCAATGGAGATGTAAAAAGATTAAGTGGGGGGGGGATTTTATCAGCAAAATGTAGCAGCTACAATAAGATAAAAGAAAATGTTCAAAATTTCTCAAAGATGCACTTAAAAACCTTTTTATCATCTTGCACTGTTTTTACAACATAAAAATAAAAAAGTAAACCTTCACAAATGAAAAATGCATTCACTTCACTAAATCAACAACAGAATTTGAGGTTTCTGCCTGAATTTTGGGGGATGATGCGTTATCATTTATACTCTGACTATTGTCCTTATCTTTGTTGTTCTTATCACAATGTTTCAGCTGCTATGCCCTCCAGCCTTCATCAAATGCTTGTTGAACAATTTAACATTTCAAACTGAACCCTTTATTGAATCCATGAGAGTAGATTATTCTCAATCCACTCTCACCCTGTTTATGGATATATCTCTCATCTTGTTCTTATTTAGTACTGCTCCTCAGTTGTTGCTTACTTCATTTCCACAGTGACTGAACAGACAATTACTGTGTCACCAAATTCCCAAATCAAGGTTTTAACCTATAAGGCTAGATTAAATAAGAAGTTCTGTTTGAAATTTCCTGAACGTTACCTGGATTGACAATCACCTGATGAAGGCCAAAGGCCACAACAGCTGAAATGTGATAACAACAACAAAGATTAGGACAATAGTCTGGGTGTAAATAATGTAAAGAATTTAAGTTTTTTAAAACAGATGTTGTTTGTAAGTAAACTTAAAATCAACTTTGGTGATGTGGAAATGACAAATTTAATTTTATATATATATATATATATATATATATATAATCTCAAACCTTGGCTGAACAAGCTAATCAGGCAAAGAATTAATACTATACTAAGTACAATCTTTTATCAGGTTCCTGTGTACTAGACAAACCCAAGATAGAAGTCAGTATATGCACAATGTATGTGTCAAAAAAGCAGAGTATGTAAAGAGTTAATGGTAAGTGAGACCATATTGTATCTTGATGTCATGGAAATGCAGAGACCAATATTAGTCAATGCTCTTACACCTGTTGAGTCAGTATAAATACTGGTTCAGTTGCTCATGGCAGGGTGACGTGAATTACTAGAGTTCAAATAAGGTATAAGAGTGGATGACAGACAGATGGAACATTTCTGAAATTATAAGGATATCACTCAATCTGCAATACTGCATGCGTACGGGGAATGCTGCTCACTGTAGACAGCTCAAGGCGGGGTGGAGTGGGGGGGATCTTGGCAACACAGAGTCCTTAATGATCATGAAAATAAGAGATGAGATACGGACTCAAATCACCCCCCACATTCAATGTATAAAGATACCAGGCACATATCAATTCAGCTTTCTTCAGCTTCCATAGGATAGGGAAGCAGAAGACACACCATGATGTTCTTGTTGACACCAGATACAGTGCCACACTTCGGCTTGTGACATTACTGATTGGGACCCCAAGGACTGGTATCTTGTCATATGATCATAATCATTTCAGGCTGATGGCAGAGTTCAGATGTGGTGAAGACCCCTTGTGGCTATGTAGCCTGGTTGTCAACAAGGCACTGTGCAAGCTTGTAAGCATTGTGTAATGGCATGGAAGATGTTTATATGTCCACTTAAACATCATCAACCAGTGCAGTTTTGTAACCAGTTGCCCCTTCATGGACCCCAACATTGATGGGTTATTCCAGCAGTGTTATGTCCAAGCTGTTCAGAATTAGTTTCAGGAAACTTTTGGAGACTTCTGATGAATAGTATGGCCGCTATTAAACACTTATGGGGCATGGTTGACAAGTCTATTTGTGTGCAAGGTCCTGTATCAAGAAATATTAAAGAGTTGTGGACAGCTACCAAGATGGCACAGCTCATCATCGCTGCAGATCTCTTCTAGCAACCTGTGGATAATGCCATGCATTGAGTTGCTGCATTTTGCCAGGCTAGATAGTGTCTTACAGGATATCAAGCATTTATCTCATGACTTTTGCTATGTCAGTGTGCATGTATTTCTAGATATTAAAAGTAATTCTCAGAATATTTAATCTAATGAAAT